ACAAAGCCAACCCAGAGGTGAGAACATTTGTAGCTTGACTCCCTGAATCCTCTGCCACTCCACCTTACAAGGGAACACCCAGGGGTGTGAGAGGCAGGCACCTAGGAGCCAGGGAGGCGATTCAGGCTCAAATTGGAACCAGCAAACAGGTCGACTGTGTTCAAAGTCTACGGCCCCAGGCAGCCACTTTCACATCTACTTGATGTAGCATCATTTAATATCCTACATCAACGTGGCCGGTCGGTTGCTCTGCACTGCTCTAGTCTTCCTACTCCCTTCTTTCTTCCCTTCCTCACTTAAATAGCTTTCCCAAAGAACAGAGGCCCGTCCGGTTTGTGAGCGTCTTGTAGCTCAGTCTCCCACTATACCTACCTGTTTCTTCAACCTCTTTTCATCCTACCTTTAGCCCAAATGGCCTCATCTCCCCTGCTCAGATCCCTTTCCCTACGTTTCTGCATAAACCCAGTTATTAGTCACCAAGCTCAACCCTGCTTCCCCCCGCCCACGCCCGCAGTAAAGAACCATGCACACAACACTGTCAGTATTCTTCACTTCACAGAATGACCGGCCCCAACGGGGTGATTATTTGACTGTATTTTTATAGTGGGCTTTTCCTTTTGATAAGTGGGGTTTCTGTTTGTTTGTTTTTGTATTTCCCCTTTCCCAGACAGTATTGTTCTTTCAAGGAGTACTGGTGCCTTGAACACCAGTCTGGCAGAGAAAAATGACAGCAAACCATATATTAAGAAAGACCATATATTAAAAACAAAACCATTTTTAAGTTCTTAGGGAGTTTCATCTAATTTACTTTCACTGGAGGCCATTTCTCTGGGATCAACATAATTTCTGGAGAAGTCCTACTGTCCTAGTTTTTACTGTTGTGTTTTTGCATTGGATTTGTACATATAAGGTTAGGTCAGTGGTTTAATTTTTTTTAAATCACTAATTTCATTAAAAAAATACTATTAGATACTAACTCACAGATTAACCCTGACAAAATAAAAGTAGGTGGCTTCAGCACCCCAAATCTTACTAACGGACAAGGATCTACATTAAATGACACCATAGATCAAACAGACCTATGAAAATGGACCACAGGTCAAGTGGACCTATAAAATTTTTTTTTGTCAAATGCTAAAGAATACACAATCTTTCTCAGCAAAACCCCAAAAGCAGTAAATGAAAAGAAGTAAGATCAGGGCAGAAATTAAATGACAGAAATAAAACAAAAGGAAATCAACAAAACAAAGCTGGTTTGTTGAAAAGACACACAAGAGCAATGAATCCTTATTTAAACCAACCCAAATAGAGAAGAGGCAAATGAATAAAAGTAGAGACACAAAGGGAGGCATTACAACAGATGCCAGTGAAATTCAGAAAACTATAAACACTAATGTTAGAAATAACATTCCACTAAGCTGGAAAACCTGAAAGAAATAGATTAATTTCTAGATGGATACTGACCTAAGTCAAGAGCGGAAAGAATTTAAACAGATCTGTAACAAGAGAAGCTAAACCAGTAGAAACAATCTCCCAAACATAAAAGTCCAGAACCAGATAGATCCAGCACCCAAGGCCATCAGCCATTTAAAGAACAATGGCAATGCTTCCCAAAGTACTCCATACAACAGAAAACGAAGGACTGCTACAAAAGATCTTATAAAGCTGGGGATACCCTAATGCCAAAACCAGAACGACACACAAACTCAAAGAAAATCACACACTTATCTCCCCAATGAAGATAAAGGCAAAAATTCTCAATACTTGCAAACTGAATTCAAGAACAAATCAAAAAGATCAGTCACCATGACTATGTTGGTTTCAAAACATAAATAAATACAGGAAAGGCTTTTGATAATATCATATCCAACATTCCCTTCATGACAAATGCTCCAGAGACTAGGGCAAGAAGGACCTTATCTCAACATCATAAAGGTTTTATTAAAAAACCTATAGCCTTTAATGGTTTTTATTAAAAAACCATTCCCTATTAAATGGGGGAAACTCAACGCACTTCAGTAAAATGAGAAACAAAACCAAGGTATGAGCTTTCTCCATTCTTATTCAACATAGTGCTTTAAGGTAAGAAAGGAAATAAAATCAACAGCCTTCCTGAATTCCAAAGGGAAGCACACTGAAAACAAATCTCATTCACAAACCAAATCATACAACTTGGAACATAAATAACCAAGGAGGTGAAAGTTGAAAACACGGAAGAAAGAAAGGGAAAAAACTGTGCTTATGAATCGGAAGAACTGATACTGGCTGTACTACCAAAAGCATCATATACACACAGTGCAACAACCCCAATGAAAACTACAGGCCACTCTTCACCAACACCGAAAAAAAGTCAAGTCTTAAGAAACCCCCACCCCCCACCCCCACCTCCCACCAGTAGCTTTTCCATGAGACCCAGCCGCTCCACTCCTGGGTATTTAACCAAAAGATGCCAAGTCAATGCTTGACAGGAGTTATGTGTATGCCATGTGGCACCCCTCACACAGATGTGTTAGGAAGCCAACCTGGGTGTTAAAAATGTAGCGTAAAAAAAAAAAAAAAAAAAAAAAAAAAAAAAAAAAAAAAAAGAATTGGCCATAAAGAATGAAGCCATGCCACTTTTAGGGAACTAGTCATAGTAAGTGAAGTAAGACAAATTCAGAAGGACTACAACTATATATTTTCCTCTCATTTGTCTTAGACGCATAAAATCATGACTATGACATGCAAGCAGGATCACATTGCTTGGGGAAACAAAAGGGACCACAGGGGAATGGCACACAGAAGTGTAGGGATGGGGGAATATGGTCCGTGTAGTATGCTTGTATGAAAAACTTTAAACCAATGAAGAGGAAAACCTGGCAAAACTGGGAATGCAGACTGCGAACATTTTGACTCGTAAGGCTTTCAAGTCTGATTCAACCAAAGAAAAGCCGTACCTTTGTGACAGGTTTCTTGAGGCAGCCAACCTGGGCCTCAACAGGAAAGCAGCAGCTTGTACTTGACAGAAATGAGTGGGGTGATTTAGAGTAGATCAAAGTCTTAGGCTAAGAGCCCCTGTGACCCCCCCCCCCCCCCAAGTTGGGCTTCTCAGATTAGGCTACACCACCTTCCATACGGGTGAAGGCAGCTGGGGAGGACACTCAGAAAACAGAAAAGGAACACCCCTGGCCTTGCCCTCTTCCCTCGCTCACTCTCACTCGCTCACTCGCCCACTCGGTCATCCCAGGGGAGGAGGGAGACTGACAACTAACACCAGGAAGTGAAACTGATCCACGTCTTGGTGAGGCCAAGGTCAGCAGGTCAGGATGTGCGTGAAGGGAATCCCATGCAAGCACCAGGGCTGATCTTCCAAAGGTGTTAGCAACCAGTTCAGCAGAGGACCAAGAAACCATAATCACCACGGGGGTGGGGAGTTCAGTCCAGGACAGTGGTTAGCTAGGCAGAGCTCAACAATTGGCCTTTTCAGTGAGAACGTGTCACTTTTGTTTCTTTTCTCTCCTGTCTTCTTTCTCTTCTCTTCACTTTCCCTTTTTGATGAAAGCTGTTTCCTATGTAATCCTGGCTGGCCTGGAACTCTAGGCTGGCCTTGTTTGCCATCATCTTCCTGTCTCTGCCTCCTGGGTGCCAACATACTAGGGTATTTTGATTTCTATTATTATGATTCTGTGTCTTCTGTTTTATCTTTGCTCTGGACTTAAGGGAACAAATGCTGACTTGCTTCTTCATCACCATAAAACCTCCAGTAATCCCCTTGGTAATCTTTTAGCATGCCATTTACTAAAGCAGTTTTCAGGTGATATTTTAAGGTGTTATTTACATATTACAAAAGCTCCAGCTCAGCTCATACTGACGTGTGAAGGGAGGAGGAGGAGAATGGGGCATTTAGGCCAGCAGTCTCACTGTGAAGTAAGAGGCATCTAGACTGTCCACCCCACTGTTGACACTGATGCAAGATAAAAGTCTGGGGGTAGGCTGGGAGGGGCAAGATTTGGAATTTGTGTGTGTGTGTGTGTGAAGAAAGTGATGAAACTTTGGGATGAAGGAGGGAACGCACAGCTCTCCAGCAGATTCAACAATCCATGGCCCAGGCCTTCTGTTTTGTACATGGAGTTTCGTGACAGCCACAACCATTCACCTACATATCTGCAGCTGTTTTGTACTCTACGATGGCTCCGTTGAGTAGCTTTCACGTGGACTGAAGTGCTTTCTGTCTTGCTCCTCACAGATACACACAGGCTTACTGTCTACAGTGAGAAAAGTAACTCTAACAGCCCACAGGTGAAGGGAGAGGGTGAGATGCAGAAAAGGATGGACGGATCAAGGAATATGTTCAGAGCTGGAACATCTAGCAGATGCAGGAGGAGGAGCTAGGGCTGGAAGACTCTGTGCTTTATCCCACCGGGTCCTTCGTCATGGGGACGATGGCATCACTGTGATGGCAATTCTTGCCCATCAACTTGACTACATGTGAAATTAACAAAACCCAAATGGCTGGGCATACCAGTGAGGATTTTTTTTTTTCCTTAGAAGACCCACTTCTAATTGGGATCTTTGAGGTAGGAAGATCCACCTTTAAGCCACACCTTCTGCTGGACACAGGACACAGAAGAAGGAAGCTCTCTTCTCTTTGCCTGCTTGCTCTCACTCTTGCCAGCAAGTCCATTCCTTCACTGGCATTAGATTCTACTGCTGAGGGGTTCCAGTATATACTGAAGAGCAGCTGAGACATCCAGGCTCGTGGACCAAAGGACTACTGGATTCTCGGATCTTCTGTTTGTAGACAGCCATTGTTGAACTAGCTGGACCACAGCCTGTAGGCCGTCCTAATAAACGCCCTTTATATATTCATTCTATAAATTCTGTTCCTTTAGGGAGCCCTGACTGGTACAACTGCGTTCCACACAGCATCACCCACGTCCACTTCCTAAGCTACCACGAGGTGAGAGGTGACCACCTTCCCGTCTTTCAGACCTGGCAGCACATCAAACCAGACACGGCACTGGTAATCAAAAATGTTTTAATGATTAATGTTTAGACATTATTTAACGTTGTGGGTATAGCCAATGAGCTAAGCACACTCTGACAGCACACTATTGAATGTTAATAGTTTTTGTACTGAAATACGTAGACACCTGCAAACCAGTACCTAAGATGAACACACGCACAAATAGACACATTCTAGATTGGGTGAGGTAAATGTAAACAGATGCTGCGACTCCTTCCAAACAGAAAACTCACGAGACTAATTAGGACCATTTGGCTCCTCACAATATGAATGTGCAAAATTAAAGCATGGTAAACTGATATTTACATAAATATCAAACCCACAATTAGTTTATACATTGTCAATCATCTTCTAGGAGGTGTCGTGAGTGGTTCGATGAGGTTTTTTTTTTTTTCTCTCTCTCAATGCAGAAGGTATTCAAAGGCTTTAAAAATGACACATATAAGAGTCCCCACTTACATGACCAACGCCTCAAGCGTACGAGACACGACTTTAGGATAAGCAGTCTGTTACTTTTAATGAGCGCTTTAAAACAATCCTTAGACGCTAAGCAGAAAAGAATTACAGATGCTGCCGTGATTTACACTGAATAAAGCGATCACTCCCCAAATGTCCGGTTCCTTTATGCTCTAGCAACCTCTTTAATTTTACCTCAAAATGCTTAAGGTGCTTCCTGGTCTCTTGGTAAGGTTTGGTAAATTAGGCACATTTTAAAAAGAAGTATATGTCAAAATAGCACTACAGAAAGCAATAAAAAAATTTGGACCCAGGCAACCAGTTCCCCATCGCTGGTCTATGTGACTGTCACATGGTAAGTGTCTCATCACCTTTCCTAAAAGGTATTTCTCCTCTCTCAAAGTGGCGGGAAGTAGAACGGACTTTTTGTCTCCTGTATAAAAAACATCAAGCACTTCAGAAATGAAAAGTGGCCTCCTCACCCTACAGTCGCCCTAGACTCCGGGCGGGGGGGCTAAGAAGATATGCAAGCGTCTCCCGACTGCTTTGGACCCTTTCCCCCACCTCTTGAAACACATCGATAGTGGCACTCAAAATAAAAAAATAAGATCTGTTAAAAAGTTAAACTGACTGTTCCACTAGACTTGAGCCTGCTTATGAAGAGCCGGCATTATAAAAACCAAAGGTGCCGCCAGATTTCCCATCTCCGAGTCACTTGAAGTTACACATCACACATTTAGTTTCATAAGTCACATATCTGATTCTTCTAAACAGAGCTGTTACAAATGAATACAAAGTTGAAACATACCCTAATTAAACTAACAAGCTTTGGGCCCTGCTTTTTAAGTCTTAAGGCATGTGTGTTTCTCTACTGTTAACAACATTGTACAAATTTACATTTACAATCACATGCATGGTCTACAGTTAAAAAAAAAAAAAAGAGTTTGGATTACAGTGTTTTAAATTGTGAACCACAATTCAGCACCTATCGTGTTAGAACTAATAAGGCAACAGCAGTGTCGTATTCTACAATAACATTCCCTTTCCACAGTCTAGCGCGGGGGTCGAGGAGAGCCCAGAAATGTGAGAAAATCGTATGCCTACTTGTATAATCTGTATACATGGTCTAGGGGTTTGGAACTGATGAAGAAGGTCCTACATAAGTCACACTACGTCGGCCAGACTAGTGACAGCAGCTGTTACAAGCGTCGGGGCACAACTTATACTGTGCTTACAATCACACGCCGTGGTCCGGAGGCTTTGGCTCCGCCTTGTCAATCCTTCCGCTGCTTCCTGGGCTTCACATTGTTTTCCAGGGAGGGGAAGCGGTTGGTGTGCCCGTTGACAGCGGTCATGGAGCCGTTCTGGTGACCCTTCAGGTGCTCTTTCCTCCGAGAGGCCCCTTTCTTGTTGTAAGTCTAGAAACGTACAAGGCAGATGAGTGCCTGCTAGCCAGATGAACTGTACTAATTGGTCTGAATCTAACTAGGCCTAGTGTCCCAGCATGATACACTCTCACCAAGAAATTCCTGTGCTCAAATAACCATTTTCTGTTTCAGCCACTCATTTATCTATCTATCTATCTATCTATCTATCTATCTATCTATCTATCTATCTATCTATCTATCTATCTGAGGCTTAGCTCATATGTTCTCTTGACTCCTAGGCCACAAATAAGCTTTCCGAACAGTACGCAGAGTTTACGTTCACTCTGCTTCGCCTCTTCGGGATGTGGATGGTGGGGCGATGGGCTATGTGACCCAAACTGGCCTCTCCCACTGGCCAATAGCTCCCCTCACACACGAGTCATTGCTTAGCTTTAAATTTAGCAACTATCTCAGCCCTCATGTACTAGTGCTATGCCTCTAGGAGCAACTGGAAGAAAGGTCTAGTTCTCAGGCCCCAGCGAGACACAAGTCAACATGGCACACGCAGGTACGTGGGGACACAGGCACATGGGGATGCAGAATAGAGACAGTGGCTGGGCTCCCAGTGGCTGTTCCGTATTGCTGGCCTTTACTCAGGATCCATTCCCTTTACCCTTGCTCCTGACCAGGTAGGTCAGCAGGGACAGAAGCCTCTTGGAGGTGGCCACAAAAGCGGGAGGCGCATCAGTGTCTGCCCAGTGGTCAGGCGCCGCTGTAGACAGACAAATCTCTATCATATTATGTGACCAAACTCAAGCCCCAAGCTTGACCAGTTGGGAATCTAAGAAGAGTGGGACAAAACGGTAGGTTTCAATTCCATCAGAGGACTGTGATGGAAATTCCTGCTTACCTAAAAAGCAGGGCGGGCGGAGGGGCTGAGAGTTTTGATTAAAAATCACCTCTCTATTTCTCTGCACCAGGCCAGAGGGAAGAAATAACAGCACTCCGCTAAACATGGCCTCATTTCCCACCTGAGTCCCAAAATGGCCAGGTCTAGTCTCTAGAGCAAAACTGGTCCAGTCTCTGGAGCAAAGCCCCCTGCAGAGCAGTGGCTCCACACAGCCCTACTGAGAGAGAGGATGAAGACTGGAAGGCTGGTGCCAGTGAAGGGTGAGACTTACCTGAATGTAAAAGTTAGTGAACAGAGCAATCAGGGAAATCATGTATCCAATCTGGAAATACAACCACCCGAGGGGGAAGGAACAAGGCCAGATGACGCCACAGCTGGTCTGGATGATTGTCAGCACAAACTGGACCTGGAGGACAAAGGCCTGGGCTGAGCAGTGGCAGAACACAGATGGAGTTCCAACTGGGGGACCCTTGAATACCATATTTTATCCTAACCTTTGTATGGATATGTCAGAGTTCTCTAAGTTCCCCCTCTCTCCTCAAAGCTGCTTAAACCACTTTACTCCAAAATTCTAAGACTCGGCACAGAGAGATGGAAGAGAGAGGAGTGAGGAATCTGTTTAAAGGGGCCAGTGATGTCACCTGTGACACACAGTCTCACTAATTTGCTTCCTAGCCAGTGCCTGCGTTCACTCTGGTGTGGCGAAAGCTGTCATGAACATTTAAACTCCTCTTGACCAAAATGCACAGGCGGTGAGTGGCCCTGGACAAGCAGGTGGACCTGCATACAGATGCAGAGGTGTTGAAGGCTCCGGACTACCTAAGCACCTGCAGTAGCCCTGAAGACTCAGCAGCTCCCACCATCTCTGTTTTCCTCTATTCCATCGGGCTGGTCCTCTCAGCTAAGAACACAGCAGACGGCACATGGCCCCACAGGACGTCAATGCTTACGCTCTTCTTCCATATTCTGTCTGCCGGAGCCCCGGCTACGGTGTAAATCCATTTTGCCAACCTTTCTCCTCCGAATCGGAGGAGGCTAAAGAACCAATTATCCTTCCCCACAGGTGAGAAAAAGATTAACAGGGATTGCAGAGCAGCTGGCAGAGGTGATAATGAAACACCAGACGCAGGAGGAGCTCCAACTTCTCAATGTTATTTTTAAATTTTGAAAAAAAAAAAAAAATCAAGATTGATTCAGGGGATCTAAATTAGATTCGTTTGGAACAAAATGTACATGGCACAGCCGGGCCGGAGGGTTCAGTGTCTGTCCCTTTACCCTCCTGCTTCAAGACAAAATGGACACAATATCTGAAACAACTCACGCAAAAATCATTTACTTAGCATGAGTGCTTGACATACGAAACAAAAGAGGCCAGCGTTATCACGGTAGCATTACTAATGAGCTCAGGAAGGTTTCATGAGGAAAGGAAGAGGCACTTGTAATATACTAACTACTGGCAACACTTAAGAGAGGGGAGTGAGGAGAATCATCGAGATCAGACAGCTGTGGCCCGTCTCTGCCAGCGCCACCATCCGAAGCAGCGGATGGGAGCCATTCTCACCAAGCACTCTGCTGCCCGCGTCAGTAGTCACCTGGCCCATCTCAGCCAGTAGGCTCGCTGTCAGGCAAGCTACCAGGGCTCTGGCCTCTGCACCGGGAAAGGTCTACCTCAGAGTCCTGGGAGCACAGACGAGCAGTTTTCATCCTCGTGTTGGAAATGAGAAAGCACACGGAGGTGCATGCGTGCTCATTGTGTTCTTGCACACACAGAGTAAGAACAAAGCCTACCCTGAAGGGGGGAGCCGAAGGTTTGAGGCACCCCCCCATCCAGAGCAGCTAAAGCCTACCCTGAAGGGGGGAGCCGAAGGCTTGAGGCACCCCCCCCCATCCAGAGCAGCTTCTCCATCTATGAGAAACCAGAGTGTTCCCCGATCGGCCTAGGACGAGTTCGGCTGGATCAACTCGATCTGATTCAGCACCAGTATGGCCTGGAAGGGGACGGCATCTGGCAGGGAACAAGCTCTGGGCCCAAGTACTCACCAGCTGCCCTTGAGTGATGTACTTTTTCCACCAGAGATAGGGACGCATGGAAGGGACCGAGGACAGGCCATAGTAGGAATACATGAGGACGTGGATGAAGCTGTTGAGGGTTGCACCAAAATAAGCTTCGGGAACAAAGAGGGTGGGGGTGGGGGGGGGGGAGAAGATGCTCCATTAGAGTTCTGTGAATAACGGGTGGAGGAAATCTAAGACAATTTTGGAGCTGGGATATTCTGAACAACTGCAGCTCTAAGTGCCATGTGGATGTGTGAGTCGGTTTCCATTTGGGTGGGCGGGGCAGTCAGCCACAGGAACAGCCTAAACCCGGTGGTCAAGTGGGCCTGCCCTGACCTGGAACCTGCAGGTTTGGTGGCAGACTGGAGGCAGGCCCCCCACCTCCCAGACACTCAAGATGAGCCATTCTAGAGTCAGCTCTTTAAAGAGGAAAGATCCATTTTATCACACGACTTTCGATCTCTGATACAACACCTTTCTTTAAAATACTTTCATCCTCAATGAAGCAAAGCCACGAGCCTTTTTTTTTCAGACACACAGGGTCATATTAGAAAGGTTTCTAGTGGCTATGACAGAAACTGGTCCTGGAGCCTTGCAGAGGTCATGTGCGTTCTCTTCTTTGCCAGAGGCCAGGTGTCCTATGAGACAGCTTGAAATTTAAAATACCCTTCCAATGTAATTAAACAGAGGGCTGTCACTACTAGAACTTGGGCTAGCTTAGCCACGGGTGATGAGGAATAAACACTACTTCAAGAGTGTTAGACCTCAACCCATCATTCTAGGGAAGCACGTGTCTCCCAAGCCCAAAGGCACTGTATCTAGAAAGCTTTTTCTAGGTATAAACCTGTCGGAGCTGTGAATCTTGGTGGGCAGAGATTATCAGCAACTATGCTGGGAGCAGAGGGAGTCCACCAACAGTTCCAAAGATCCTCAGTCATATTCTTCAATATTAGGATGAAAAAACTTGTGACTGAGATATTTGCTGCAACCCTAAGTGGATCCCAACCATACCCAACCTTTAAAAACAAGCAGATTTTAGTGCATGTTAGAGAACCATCCCGGCAGCTACACTCTGTCGGAGTGGATGGGGACTTCCTAACGTGTGGTGTCGCCAAGACTGCCTGGCTCCCTGACACACAGCTTCCACACCACAATGACTGTGAGGGCTGGTTCTCTCCTCCCACCATATGGGTTCTAGGACTGGACTCAGGTCATCAGGCCTGGCAGCCAGCACCTTCACCTGCTGAGTCAACTGACCTGCCTGTCCACACCCCACTTCTCCACGGGCCCCAGGCTGGTAGCACCTTCATCTTACTCAATCGGCACAGGACACTCACTACCAGAGAGATTCTGTGCACTCAGGCCACATAAACTATCATTAAAAGGAACCCCAGGTCCTCTTCACAAAGTCCCTGCCTATGCCTGTGTCTCGAAGCCACTGGTTTCCCCCGGCAGGTTAGGAAGTTCCGGTCTTACTTTAAAGCCTCTGACCTATTTAGAATTTATTTTTGTGCAGAGAGATCTGTTCTGTTTCATCGTTTTACACGTGGATATGCAGTTTTTCCAAAACTATCTATTGAAGAGGCTTGTCTTAACCTATTTTAACTTTTAAATTAGCACAGGGTAACGGGTTTCATCATAGCATCTTCATACATTTCCATCACTGTGCTCCGTTACCATTTGCTCCCCTCCCAAACAGTGTCCTTCCCTGGTGAAGCCCTCTCCTGTCCAGGCGCTTTCCTTCCTCCCCAAAAGTCCCCCCTGCTCTTACACACAACCCCATTGCCCTACCTACCCCACCCTACTATTTCCTACCTCCCGTAAGATCTCTTCCTCTCCCCTCATGATCCTTTTTCTTGGTTTGTGGCCTACATATACATATCATGCACATATACAATTTTATATTTGGGTTCATGAGATACAATACGCAGTATGCCAGTCTGGCTCATGTCACTTAACACGATATCCATCTGCTCCCATTTCCCTGCAAATGCCAATTCACATCTGCATAAAATCCTGTTGTGCAATGTGTATTTTCATTTGTGTGTGGCCATCCAGGCTGGTTCCGTTTGTTGGAAGAGAACAGCAAAAACACTGAATGTACCCATATCTCTGTGGTATGCTGACTTGGACAGCAAGGTCATATGGTAGTTCTAGTTTCAGTTTTCGAAGAACCTCTATACTGACTTCCACAGCAGCTCCATGATACAAAACCCGTATCCTTGCCAGCCTTTGTCCTCTGCTGGCATTGAGTACAAGAACTTCATCGATACCCTGAGTGCTCTGCCACTGAGCTATGCCCCCGAGTGGTTTATTTCTCGATGACAGCCATTCTGACTGACGTGAGATGGGCTCTCAAAGCAGTTTAACTTACATTTTCATGACAGCTAAAAGATGCTGAACACACTTTCCAAGTATTTATTGGGCATTTGTGTTTCCTTTAATGAACTGTGTATTGAGGTCAATAGTCCATTTACTAATAAATAATTTGTGGGGTTTTTTTTGTTGTTGTTGTTGTTGTTGCTGTTGTTTTTTAAAGCAATGAACATATCTTGTCAAAGATTACATGGTGGATGTGTGGCTTACTTTCTGGTCTCCTATTCTGTTCCTTTTGTCTACATGTCCCTTTTTGGTGCCTGTGCCATACTGTTCTTGTTACTATGGCTCTGTGGTATAGTTTGAGATCTGGCCTTGTGAAGTCTCTAGCACTGCTCTTTCTGCTTAAGATTACTTTGTCTATTACATGTGACATGAAAACAGAAGGAAGGAAGGGGACCAGTCAGTGGTAAGGGGGACATGAGAAGGTCAGGGAAGAGGGAAAGACAAATGAGAAAAAAAAGTATAATTATAAGGAAAAGAGTCACAACAAAACCTTTTACAGTGAATGCTAATAATAATAATAATAATAATAATAATAATAATAATAATAATGAAAAAACCTGAACAGAAAGTCAAAAGGTTAACCTGAAGATTTACAAAGAGAACATCTTTCCCCTGCGCACTAAGTGCCCTGTCTGTTTCTGTCACGTGTCCCCCAAACACCCCATTACTTACAATGGCCGCAGGGAACCCAGTTCATCACAAACCACCAGATGTTGAACATGGAAGCATGGTGGTAGACATGCAGGACTGTGATCTGGTGGTTATTCTTGCGAAGGATGAAGAAGAAGGTATCCATGAATTCTATGAGTTTGGAAAAGTAGTACCACCAGAGGACGCGGATGATCTAAGAGCAAAGGGTTCACAGTTAATCCCCAGTGCTTTTCTGGAATGACACGCTGTACATTCAGCATAGAGCTGGAGAGTCCCACTGGCCCCTGGCGCCTTCCGGTGACTGAGCTCCAGCTACTGTGAACATACCTACAGGGAAGATTCAAACGACAGCAGGAAGCGCCTTCAGGGTTCCTGAAGGGCTCCCGACACTCCTGCATGCTCTAGCAAGAACAGGAAGACCTGTATCTCCAACCCCATGACTTGGAGGTACAAGAGAGGATCAAGAGTTCAGGATCAACTTAGCTCCTGGAACTTGAGGCTGCAAAAGACCCTGTCTCACAAAGCAAAACCTAAAGGAAAACAAAACTCCCTAGGAAGCTCCTGGGTCAGCAGTCCCTTTGTGTTGCCTGCTGCTGGGGGGAGAAGGGTCCTTGGGGTTTGTGGGACTGGTGTGAGAAAGTGTGAGTCACAGAGGAAATTGAACCAGCATGTCCAACCAGCATGCCTGAAGGAAATACTGGCCACACCTAGCTTTGATTGTCAGTCTTCTGTTTAAAGGGACTCCAACTTCCCAGAGTGCAGGTCAGATTCTACTTTAATGTCGATACTCAGAGGGCACTTACAGGAGAGATTTTATGTGTAAATCATGATAAATACACAAATGATTTTATGTGTAAATACGAAACCTGAGAGACACGATTTCCCTTTGCCAACTGTTAACAGGGGTTCTTTTACAGAGAGGGGGAGGCTTTAGTTTTCTCCTTATTTATGCCTTTCATGTTCAAATTTTTATACCACACACCCCGCACTTCTTTCTGTCAACAGGAATCATCATGATCAAAAAGCTACTGTCTTTTTTGTCTTTTGTGCAAGTTCTTTATCAAAATAAAAAAAAAGAAATCCGCGTAGACACCCCCTCCCCCACCTGAAACAATACCTTCATATCTGATTCTCCCGCGCTCCGTGTCCCTTGACAGAAGAAGTTGTATCTGCCTTCCCATACACCCGTCACCAACTAAAAGAGAGGAGAAAAGTTAGTTGCTGCATTGGAACCCTGCTCGAGCTGAACTTTATCAGTCTAGAGTATGTGAAAATTAACTTGGGCTGCACAGAGGCGAGTTCGAGCAAAGTGAAATGGTCACAGGGAGCTGTGAAGAGAAGTCTGGGGCACCGCCCCTTCATTCACAGCGGGGCATCACGATGGAAGGTTGAGGAGGGAGCCTGAAGTGGCCTCCCAGCCTGCTGCCTTCAGAAAGCCCCTTTACCCGCTGCTTCGGCCTGCCCTGACCAGTCCAACTCCAAGACGCCATCCTGTCTCCTCAGGCCACTTTCCCTAAGCCTGGGCTCCTCAAGCCTGAGTGAACAGAGTCTGGAGCCATCCGAGGAAGCCAGTCATGGACTGACTATCCAGGGCATGGGGGCACAAGAACGTGTAGTTCCGACAAGTCCTTAAAATTGCCGGTACCAAGACCACTAGACAACCACACTCTAAACACTGGGACTAATACAGCCTGTCTCCCTATTTCTTGTCACTTCCCGTTGCTGTGTCAACCTCTACACTTACAGATTAGCCATCTGCAGAATCCGTCTGCAGACGTGGGGTCACAGAAAGGACCCCAGAAGTGGGATGCAAGCTGGAGCTTTCTCTGGCTCACTGGGAGGGCCTGCTCCTTATGAGCACATAGAGAGATGAGTAGCCTCTGATGAGACCGTAGGGAGAAAGTTCACTCTGCCTCCATACTGCCCACCCACTATGTTCCTAATGTCTATGAAGGCCAGAGCTCCCTGCTTGCTTTCTTCTACAGTCCCGAATAATCTTGAGTGCTCCTGATGACCACAGAGTGCCGGGATGTGCCCGAGATAGTATACTTTGAGCCTCATGCCACCCAGTCAACAGTTATCAAAGTGTGTGCCCCTATCCAGCCTATCCAGCCTACCAGCAAGCAAGCACCCAGGACCCCTGAGAAAATGCATTCTTGAACTACCACACACCTTCAGAATCTAAAACCCTGGCCCAGGTCACCAAGGCTGGCACTCAGAGTCTGTTTGGCACTCACAAATTCTTGAGTGCCATCATTAGATTTAATGACGGTGCTCTACATAACTGTATCCACCCAGCAGAGCTGACATCACTCAGGGACTTGCCTGGAAAGGCCCTACCTGAAATTTTGTGACCCTGAAATTTATGGGCAGGAAGCCAATGTGGGGCGGGATGTGAGCGTGAGTGTGTGTGAGAGAAAGAGAGGGAGACCTCAGGTATCCTAGGTTGAAGTCCTGATCCTCCTGCCTCCACCTCTTGAGCGCTGTCATTTTACCAGCTGCCCAGTGTTTTAACAGGTGATTCTTCTCAGATGAAGTGTGGGTCCCACTGTAGCTGGACAGCTCAATCACCCAGGGAGCTTTTAGAGCGTTTCTAATCCCAGGCTCACACTAACAATGAAGTAAGACCTCAAGGGGCCTCCTACAGTTCTCAGGAGAGTTCAGTGTGCAGTCCAGACTGTAAATCAGTGGCTTCCTGCAACTGACCTCAGCAAGAAAGTGCTTGAGGGAAGGGGTAACTGAGAGCCGGGACCCAGAAGGCTCAGGCTGTTCTGCCATTGCCCTGGGACAATTACTCAGCCTGCTGAGCAGTACAAATGCACTACAGCGAAACAGTATGTTTGCACAAGGATTGGAAGACACATTGTCACATTTTCATCCAATCTAACTTCAGAAATAAATGCCAGGCATAGCAGGAGTGCTGAGGTTAGCGCCTGATGTTTCTTTTAACTTCCCTTCTGCTGTTTTTTCCTTCTGTTCTGTTACTTTCTGTAGCATGAAAACATTCAGAGTCTACCTATTTTTCATGGCTAAAGAACAGTGTAAGAATCTGGAATGCCATCAGATGAGGACTGCTGTGGGCTGGGAAGGGTTGACAGGGAGGACTGTGGGACCCGTGGTTTTCCCTGTCAAGAGTAAGGCTGCTCTACATTATCTCCAGTAGTTTTCTGTCCAAGTTTTCAATAGTTTCTTCGCTAGACTTCAGAACAGACCCTACCCAATGCTACATTTTTCAAGACCAGCAGCACGAGGTAGCACTCCAGGCATGTTCATCTTTTTTGGTCTTATGTCCTCTTTCAAGGCCAGTTAAGTCTGTCACTCACAGACCTGTCAGAACTTCGAAGACTCAAGATACAAAACCAGATTGAAAAGAGGAACAGAAAGCAGGGTGAGGAGACAGGCTTGGGGTCCTTAGGAGGCCTGATTGGAAAGAGGGCTGTGACATCAGAATGCACGGCTCATGGTCCTTTCTCCATCCCACGACAGAGATGCAAAATATCTTCTGACATACAAAAAAGAAAAAGGAAATGCTGCATGCCAAAATGTCACAGATAATGCAGTGAAGTTTGCATCACGATAAAAGCGTACAATAAAAAAGTTTGCTAAAATGGTTAACTTCATTTGTGGCTGTGGTAGCACATACTTTTAATCTCCTTTGGGAGACAGAGGCAGGCAGATCTCTGTTGAGTCTGTCACCAGCCTGATCTATATAACAAGTTCCGTAGTAGCCAAGGTAAATAGTGAGACTCAAAAAAGAAAATCAAAACAACAACAAAAGTCACACTCTGGACCCTACCACTGTCTTTCCTAGGAACCATCCTGGAATCGTGGGCTGGATGACCATGTGTCCATCACTGCAGAGGACTGCAGTCCTATCTGCTTGTGCCCCGTAGGAAAGAGGGCAAACGCCACCCCTCATACTCCTGCAGGTGCCTCTCAACAAGGAAGGCTCTTGTTCGCTGAGTAGCAGTTTCACTTTTGTTTCTGAAGTAAGCTAGGTGGGACTTCCTTCTATATGCAAATTAACTTAAAATGCTTACCTGCCCTTCCCTATGGATAGAAGCGGAAAATCTCTCTGTAAAACACCACCTTTGGAGGATAGAGCTCAAGCCTGGGCACTGGGTGCTGGGCTACTTACAGAAGCTCCCTACGGCTACCTGTGCATACGGCAGCCATGTTCTTGGCACGAGCCTATCCCAACCTCCTTCATCTGTTGAGGTCCTTGCAGAGGCCACCTTCGTGTCAGCATCCTCTAAATTGGGATTGCCCCTCACCACTACTACTGGGACCAGCGAGCCTCTCAACATATTAAATTGCACGTTTAAAACCCTTCAGAGAAGTATTGTTGTCTTCATCACAAAACCCACACCTCAGGCAGAGTGCTCAGGTGCTCACAGTCTACAGGGAGCCTCCAAGCTTCCCTTGAACTTCTATAGCACAAGCCACGTATCCTCCTCCTTTTCCAGACACACGTGACCAGCACTGAGGTCAAAGGGCTGCACTGAACTGCAAACCTGTGCTGATAGGTGCACTGGCTTCCACACCTCCATTCCTTTGGGCCTCAACCTAAACGGTCCCGCAACTCACAAGGCACAGGCATGGTCTTGCTTCAGGAAAGCCGTCTTGAAGGGTTGGCGATATGAAACGTGCAGTTTATCTCGTCCAATACGGCTCATAATAGAAGCATCATATAGATGCTCATAATGACCATTTTATTCTTATCAGCTAGAATTCTGTCTCCAGATACCCTAGGTCCCCAGAACTCAACACTTCATCTTTCGAAGTTCAGTTAAAATCCCACGTTCTCCACGACTGTTCCCCCGAGCACTGCAAGCCCAAGCTCTAGTCTCCTTGCTGCAGCCCGACCTTTTGTGGGTTCTCTTAATTTGATCAGCATTTGATAATGGGTCACCTGCTCCTCTCGAAGCTCTCGGGGAGACCTTGACTCTTACATCAACAGACTTGGCCCAAGGACTTGTACATAGGAGAGGGTTAACGAACTACACGGGACTAATGACAGAATCAATACATCGCGTGCCTTCCCCCTAAGGAAGTGGTTCTCAACCTTCCTAATGCTGTAGCCCTTTAATATGCTGCAAGTTTTGCTGACTCCCAGCCATAAAATCGTTTCATTGCTACTTCATAACTGTCCTTTTGGTACTGCTGTGAACAGTAATATGACAAGCATCTGACGTGACTTCTCTGGGGTCCGGACCCACAGGTTGAGAGCCACTGTCTTCAATCTAACGGCAAGTTACATTTGCAGGAGACAAAAACTTCAGTTCTGTTTGAAGGAAGAAAGTTCAGTTCATTTTTTTTTTTTTTTCTTTATAGACAGAGGGGGAAAAAATCAGAAAGTATTTGAAAGAGGCTTGAACTTTTATGTTCATAAGGAGAAAACAATTTATCTAATTTCATCATGGGGGAGGGATGTAGAAAATGTCAGAAAGGCCAGAACAATTTAACACCCCGAACTAAGGACCTGGGTGAGTACTTATTTGTCTAGGTCTCTACTGAATTTTCACAGATGGGGCAGAGCTGGAGGCTTCTGTGCCCTAAATTACTGTCAGAGAAAGAGGGGGGACCAGAGACTCTCTGGTGATGCCAAGGACTGACATCACGGACCCACAGAGTGCACTCTGGAGAAGACACTGCTAGAAAGTTCCTGCAGCTGCTGCTTCTCTCCAGGGCTTAGGTTCAGTTTTTCTCCAACAAGCTGTCCTGGTCATGATGTCAGACACGAACGAGAGGGTCAGGAGGATGGACAAGGTGAGGTGAAGAGAAAGGGCTGACGTCTACCTTGGGCTTCTGAGAATCAGCATAGATACCGTTCCAGGGTGAAAAAGCAGGCCGCAATAAACAGCTTGCTTCTATCCTCACACGCCCTGTACCACTAACTGGTCCAAGGACAACAAAGAGAGGATTATTTACATGGCTTTCCCCAAGAAACCAAGATACGGGCAGTACAGCTATAAAGCCTATGTGCATTCTCCTTCCTCGGAGTAAAGCAAACCTTAATTAGGCCAGCAGCGTGTGAAGAGCTATAATTAAAACACAGCAAGACGCTTCCTCCTTTCCTTAGACAAATCCAGCAGCCAATGGAGGTTTTGTGTATCTTTTCACCTTAAAAAAAAAATGTAGGTGATGCAACTCAGGGAGCGAATGACCTTTAATGTTGAGAACTGACTTCTAACC